TATCATGCTTCGGCCTGATGACCACGAAGTAGACAGGAAGGACGACGGCCGCGGCGACGATGATAATCGCGGCGATCCAGAACCAGAGAGTCTTGTAGAAAGGGCGCTTCGCGGGCCGTGGATCTGTCAGGTACCCGCTCTCGGACTCCTTGCCGGCGAGCGGGCTGCTGTTGTACGGGGCTGGTTGCTCTTGTAGCAAGGGGGCGAACTCGCGGGGGATTGACGTGAGAGACTCCTTTGGCAGGTTGTTCTCCGCCGGGCGTAAATAAGGTGACTCGCCGCGGAGAGTGGCTTGGGAGCCCCCCGCGGATGGCGGCAGGCCGTAGGGGTTGAAGTCGCCAGACATGAGTTGTTAAAAGATTGTTAAGCGGGGCGCGTTTGAGCAGCCCTTGGAGGGGCGCGCAGCAGGCGAGCCGGAGACGGTGCAGAGGGAGGGAGGAAGAGGCAAAGCCGGGAATGTTGAACGGCGTATATTAGCGATGGGAAACCCGCCCATGCTGTACTGTGTCCGCCTCCAGCGGCGGGCACACGATCGGTCGCCCGAAATAGTCCGTCTTCGCGTCTTGCCGTGAACTCTGCCGTGAGCTTATGAAACAGCCCGCGAACGCGCGCCGGAGGCCGTCATCCTCACCGTTCAACATACACGCCAGCCTCCATCCTCTACGAGCAGGCCACAGCTCCTTCTTGCACTCTCTGTATTCCAACATCGCTGTACCACGTTCGCGGGGCGCGGGGGCACGAGGAAAGCGGCTGACAATCCCCTTGGCGTGGCGATGCGTCCAACAAAGCTGAACATATGCATGCTTGACGACAGAAGAGGACACCAGACCGGTCAGATGTTTTGATGTGCATACGGCGGTGTCGTCCATAGATTCGGAGGTGCGAGAGCTTGGCACGCGGTCAACCGCGCCAGAAGACGACGTACCATCCAGAAGGCAATCGTGTCCCCCCGAGAAAGCTGCGAGGCCCATTCTTATTCCGTCGCCCCCACCCCACTTGCAGCGTGTCCTGCTTGAAGCCACGCGCACGAGAATGCTCCTGAAGCCACATACGGCCCGAGGATCTTCTTGCAAACTGTTGCAGCGATGCGCTGATGGATACCGCAGTGATATCGACTTGTCTGGGCACAGCGTCTAGCTCTAGTCTGTCTGGCATCACGGCTTAGCATAGATGTTTGAAAATGGAGAGCAATTGAATGCGTCGAGAGTCCACTCATGAAAGAGATTGGAGACAAGATGGGGGTTATGGCTTACACAGGGGGCATCCTGCGATGTTTTCGAGAAAAACATGTCAGAAACATGGCGGAGATTGAAAATAGATTACCTGCCGTGTCTTTGAACTGAACATGGCGAGATTATGGCGGAAATATATGTCATGTTTTAACTCATGTCGGTGACATATTCTCGGGGAGAACATGGGCCAAATATTTTCAATATTATGGCTATGTTCTCGACCACGGTGATTCATTTGATGTATTCATGGCATTTTTCGGTGCCAAACACGTCGGAAACATCGCACCTTGAAAATGACATATACTCGAGGCATGTTTTCGCCATATTACTGCCTAAAAATGGCAAGGACATGCGAAATATTTCTGCCATGTGCTCGTGCAAGCAAAACATACCGGGAATAGTTCAAATATTTCTTTTCATGTTTCGCGGAGGAACACGGAAACCACATGGCTAGAAATATATCAAATGTTTCCGCCATAATCTCG